CTTCCCAAGCGGCGCACTATCCAGTGCGCCACCGGGCCGGCCCTGTTATTTATTTTTTTATTGAATAATATTCGAATGTATAGATGTATCATGGTCTGTTTATTCATTCACCTTTTGAGGGACATCTTGGTTTCTTCTAGTTTTGGGCAGTTATGAATAAAGCTGCTATAAACAATTGTGTACAGGTTTTTGTGTGGACATAATTTTCAACTCATTTGGATATGTAGGAGTGACTTTGCTTGATCACGTGGTAAGACTATATATAGTTTTGTAAGGAACTGTCAAACTGTGTTCTAAAGTGACTATACCATTGTGCATTTCCACAAACAATGAATGAGAATTCCTGCTGCTCCACATTCTCATCAGGATTTGGTATTGTCAGGTTTTTTTTGGATTTTAGCCATTCTAATAAGTGTGTAGTGGTATCTTACTGTTTTAATTTGCAGTTCCCTAATGACATATGATGTTGAATATCTTTTCACATGCTTATTTGCCACACGTATACCTTCTTTGATGAGGGGTCTGTACAGATCTTTTGCCCATTTTTAATTGGACTGTTGTCTTTTTATTATTGAGTAGCAAGAGTTCTTTATATATTCTGGATATTGGTCCCTTATCAGATATATGATCTCCAAATATTTTCTGCCATTCCATGGATTGTCTTTTTACTTTCTTGATGGTAACATTGCAGTATAAAAGCTTTAAATTTTGTGTAGTCAAGTGGATTTATCTCCTACTCACTTGCATTCTTATTGTTTGCAGCCAGAATGTGCAGTGGAGGAAACAAAAGTAAGCAAGAGGAAGGGCAGTAGAAAAAGCAAGGAGAGGGCCGGCCAATGGCTCCCTTGGGAGAGTGTGGTGCTGATAACACCAAGGCTGTGGGTTCGGATCCCTATATAGGAATGGCCGGTTGACTCACTTCGGAGGACATGGTGCTGACAACACCAAGTCGAGGGTTAAGATCCCCTTACCGGTCATCTTTAAAAAAAAAAAAAAAGCAAGGAGAGACATGACAGTGGAGAGTCATTGAAGCGAGGCATAGGTGGAGCAAGGGAAGGAGAGAAGAGGATCTGAGTAAGGGGTGCACCTTTTGCTCTGGAAACATCTGACCCATGTTCCCAGGGTGGATCCTGTTTGCTGTGAAGCCCAGCACATATGCTTGTTTCACTACCAGAATCCTGCACCCCTCCTACTGCAAGCTTAAGAGGCTGTCACAGCAGTGCTCTTGCCTCTTGGTACTTCCATTTCAAGTAGGTAGCTCTTTTGAATTTTCTCTGAGAAAGGTATTATAAATGTAAAAAGAGTTTTTGAGGTTATTCTTTTTTTTTATTTAAAGGTGACCGGTAAGGGGATCTTAACCCTTGGCTTGGTGTTGTCAGCACCACACTCACCTAGTGAGCTAACCGGCCATCCCCATACAGGATCCGAACCCGTGTCCTTGGTGTTATGAGCACCACACTCTCCCGAGTGAGCCACAGGCCGGCTCAGTTTTTGAGGTTATTCTATAGAAAGTATCAGTGTTCAAAGTTCCTCAAAGGCAGGGACTCTATTTCATTTATCTCTTTATCTCTCAGTATCTAATATAAAATCTGGCACACAGAATCCCAATAAATGTTTGTTTAAAGAGTGATTGAAGTGGGATAGAACTAGAGGGGGAGGTATTATTGGTTGCTGAAGATGTTTGATTGCAGGGAGTCTCAGTCCAGGCTAGGAAAAAGTTGTCCCTGTTGAAAACAAGAGAAGCAAATAAATAATTTTTGATCCCCACTATATACAAGAGCTGATGGCTCCCTACACAGGTATGAGAACCCCAGGACCCTCTGGGGAGTGAAAAAACCCAAGCCGCTGCCATGTCTGAGCTGAGTTCTTAGGGGGGGAGGAGGAGGAGGAGGAGGAGGAGGAGGAGGAGGAGGAGGAGGAGGAGGAGGAGGAGGAGGAGGAGGGAGAAAGGCGAGCAGGAGGAGGCGGAGCCTCCCGGTCAGCATCTGTCAGTGGAGGTTGGGAAGCCTCTCCTCCTTTCTCCTCCCTTGCTGCCTCCACCTGGCTCCTCCCCGTGTTCGCCGGGCTCCCCTCCCCTCTTTCCCAAGGACAATCTGCAGGAAAGCAGCGGCGGCGGAGAGCTGAGACTGAAAGGCAAGAGGGGCCCCAGGGTGAAGAGCGAGGGGAAAGCTGAGAGTGAGGCGGGAATGTACGTGCTGGGAGGAGGCGGGGGAGAACTGAAAGTCTGCAGGAAAGCAGCGGCGGCGGAGAGCTGAGACTGAAAGGCAAGAGGGGCCCCAGGGTGAGGAGCGAGGGGAAAGCTGAGAGTGAGGCGGGAATGTACGTGCTGGGAGGAGGCGGGGGAGAACTGAAAAGAGCAGAAGAGAAAAGAAAAGGTGGTATGACATCAGAAGCCGGAGCCGAGAGGGGGATGGGTAGGGCAGTGGTGAAGAGTCCTAGCCCCTCGGTCAATCCCCCTCCATTTGCACGCTTAGCTCCGACCGCTGGGACCGCTGGGAATCGGATGGGTGGGTGGTGGCCGGACAGCGTTGCCCTTGGCTGCCTGACCCCTATACCCCAGCACTCATCCAGTCAGAGTCAGTGCGCCTGGGATGCTGCTTCTCTGTATCCCTTCCCCGTGTTTACTTACACACGCGTGATCTGATATATGTTTTAATAATTGTATCTGTACCTGTGGGGCCATAAGGGATGCTTAAGGGGTCTTCAAAAAGTTCATGGAAAGATTTGTATTGTCTTTTAGTTCTGTTTTTCCACGAACTTATTGAAATTCCCTCATGTATGAATCTGCATGTGTTTCTGTGTCCTGTGCCTCTATAACTGTCTTAGTGATTCAGAAGAACATGCCCTGTTTTTTTACAGGTCAGCACTCATAACCTTCCTCTTGTTATGGTGAATTCTCTCCTTCACTGAAGGCTCCAGGGATGAAAGATCCCTACGTGGGCTTCTATCTGGTGATGAGCGCTAAGAGTGAATGAGAAGAAACTCAGGAGAAAAGGGATCAGCATACTCAGATGTCTTGTTCTTTCCTTTCCAAATTTTTGCCTTCCTATTTGTGTTGGCTACTTAGTCTTTCTTTTTCGAAAACAGCAGGCATTTGGACATGAGCGTCTCTAATCATGTGTGTTTATGCTCTTTCAGTGTCTGTCACTATATGATTTCCTAAGGCCTAGTTGTGTCCATGTTTTTAGAAGTAGAGAGGATATGGAGGATATTTGTGTCCAAGCCTATTTTTAATTTTTCATATGTTTGTATTTCGTGTAGTTATCAGTTCATTAATGCTTTCAACAAGTATTTCTTGAGCTCTTGTTATGTGCATAGACTTCACTAGGCCTTGGTAGGCTGAAGAAGAGTTTTTGAAAGTGAACATGATGCCTGCCCAGGAGGAGTTTTCAGTCTAGTTAGAGAAAGTGACTATAGCAGTTATCTAGTCCAGTGTTTGGCAAACTTTTTCCATAAAAGTCCAGAGAGTAAATATTTTAGGCTTTGCAGGTTGGTAGGTCTCTGTTGCAGCCATAGATAATACATGAATGAATGAAGGTTGTATGAACACTGGAATTTGAATTTCATATATTTTTCACGTATCATGAAATGTTTTCTGCAACCATTTAAAAATGTAGAAACCTTTCATAGCTTGCGGTCATACAAAAACATGAGAAGGGATGGATTTGGCCTGTGGGCTGTAGTTTGTTGACCCCTGATCTAATCCGACCCTCTTTTCAGTGCATAAGAAGCAATTAAAATGCCACATAAGGTAGTACTTAAGTGTTAAATGAATGATCCAGTTCCAAACAATATGTGATTTGAGGAGGTCCAAAAAGAAACCTTCTTTGACCTGTGGTAATCAGTGAAGGTTAAATAGGTTAAATAAGGCTATGACTAGGCCTGGCCCTAAATGATGGAGTGGGCTATGAATCTGTGGAAAGGGCCAGGGCAGCCTTCTGGACAGGGGTGTAGTGTGCCCAGGCACAAAAGTGGGGATGAACAAAGTAATGTTCAGGTGATGACTGAGCAGACAATCCGTGGGAACAAAGGTTGAAGCTATAGGTGAGGGATAGATTGTGGAAGCTTTGACTGCCAACTCAAGAAGCTTGGACTTTATCTGTCAGTACTGATTATATGTAGGTTGTTTATTAATCTGTGTCTCAATAACAATGTGTGTTTTGTGTATGTATTTCAAATGTGTCTCATTGCATATATTTTATTGGCATGTGTGTGGATTTGTGTGTTTATGTGACCTGTAAACAGCTACCCTGATTTCCCCAGATGCAGGGCAGAAACATGAGCTGCCTTTAAAGCTCCTGTTCATGTGAAGGAGTTCTCTCTCCACTGAAGTCTCAGGCCTGTGACCTTTCCATGAAGGTTTATTTTGTGTCTCTGATAGAGTGAAGAAAGGAAACACAAGCAGAGGGAGACCAGCTATTGTAGTAAGCAATTCAGGCGGAAAGAGGCAGTGAGGGTGGAAATGAGGGGATGGATAAAGGAAGATAATAAGGAGCTGGAATAATAGGATTTGGTGACTATTTTGATTCTGAGAAGAAGGGAGGACATAAATGAAAAAATAGTGGGTTTTAGCCTGGATAACCGGGAGAGTGATGATTCCATTGGCATTTTATGGGTACAAAGGTATGTCTTGTGTGTTGCTTTGAGAGACATAATCCCTAAAAACAAAATGTAAAGGTGTTCCCATGTACATATCTGTGTATATGTGACAGTGATTTATGTTACTCTAAACATCTGATAGTATGTAGTGTGAGCAGCAAGGCCTGAAGACAAGGGATCAAGAGATGCTCAGGAGGCTGAGAATGTGAGAGGAATGGAAGAGCCATAGAAAGTCCCTAACCATTCCTGAGACTACACCATTAATTTGCCCAAGCTCTAATGTGTCTTTGTAACCTCACACTGCAGTTTCAACTTCATATCATCCAACCCTACTCCGATTGCTCAATTCCATACCATCCAACCTTAATCTTATCCATTACCCAACCCACCCTTGCTTTTCTGCTTCTACCTTGTGGGTCAGTGTCCCAAACCTCATCTGATTTCCTGCCCTCTGTAACAACATTTTCCTTCATTAAAAGGGATGTTAAAACAGATTTAATAAGGGTGAAGGCTAGTAGGTTTAACCTACTAATCCTTTTTCTTCATTAAAAGGGAGGAATCCCTGAGGATTGAGTTAGCTCACTTTCTTCCTTCCTCATTTCTGTTCAGTCAACTGCCCTTCTCCCTGACCTTAGCTTATTCCCCAAATAGGCTCCAATTGGGGTGGAAGGTACCAGGGAGGAATTGGCCAGTACTTCTGCAGTTTGGGGCTTGATTACTGTGACCTTTTAGCTTGTGGGGGCGTGGCTCTCCTCTGGAAGAAGTCCACATCTCCCAGACTGCAAAGCCCAGATTTAGTGTACTGTGAGAGACTGACTGAGGTGGCTCTGGGCAGTCTAACAAAGCCATTTCTTAAGCTAGTGGTACCTTCATCCAGCTGTATCTAACTGGCCATTGTCTTAAATTCTAGAGTGGATCATGACCCATGAAGAGCACCATGCAGCCAAAACCCTGGGGATCGGCAAAGCCATCGCCGTGTTAACCTCTGGTGGAGATGCCCAAGGTAAGTAGGAGGGGACAAAATGTGGCTGGTAGGTACCCTCGAATTTCTTGAATCCCTTAGACTGTAGAATAGAATTATCCTTCTGTAGGGTCACACTGGAATCCTGGGCTTTCCTAAAAATCTCTGTCATGTATGAGTTCCCAAGTGCATTTGAATTTTATTTGCTGTACTTTTATTTACCCAAATCTTCATAAAACTTCTTTCCAAGTTTCTCTCAAGATTCAGGGCCATTTTGACCCTCTGGTACCTAAAAGAGTGGTGTTTTCTCAGGCAACATTGGAAAGAAACTGAAGGGATAAAATTGTTGACAAGGCAATAGGTGGATTCACTTCAAATACTTTGGAAATGGTAGAAAAGAGAGGAGACCCAGAATTGGTATTTGGGCCCCAGCTAGATCTTTAGGTGTTAACCCTGATGTCTGGAGAATTCCTGCACTGACCAGGGTCAGTCAGGCACTCTCTGTTTTCTCTGGCCTTTCTTTCCCTTCCTTCCTTTAGCCCTTGAACAAATAGGAACAGCAGCAGTTAACAGTAAATACAGATCCCCTGGGGGCTGGAAGGGAAGAAATCAGAGCCAGAGAGAGTCCTTCTCTAGGTTGAGTCTGAGAAACATGGGAGTCATAAAAATCAGGTATATATGAAGTGGGAGAGAGGAGACGTGGAACTTTTAAAAAAAAAACTTTTTTCTCCTTTGATCTTGTATATTCTAGTTTATAATACGTTGAAAAGGAGGAAGAATCTCTTTGAATGGGATACCAGGACATGGAGACAGTGATGGAACAAAGAGAGAAAGAGAGAGATTTCAGCTAGTCTCCCCCCTCCTCTTTGCCACTATCCCTAGGCTTTCTTAGGCTCTGTGCTAAGCACCCATGTTGCATAGAGCCTGTTTTGTATGTTGTGAAGAAGTTGTCTTCCTTTATGAACTTACAGTTTAATAAGTAAAGATATCATAAATCACTAGAATTCTTAGGTAGGACACATAAATAAAAATAAGCAAGTGTGCATTAACCAAGTAGAATCTACTTATATAATAAAATGATATTAATCAGGGAAAACTTCATGGAGAATGTAGATTCCAAGAAACCGAACTCTATTCAAGTAAGGTGCTTGGAATAGTGGCTGGCACATAGTAAATACTTAATTTATTAATTAAATAAAAACGATTTACTGTGTGTCAAGCAGGATGATAGGCACTTAGGATAGATCAGTGAAAAAGTCAGACACAGTCTTTGCTCTTACGATACTTTTTTTTGGTGGCTGTCCAGTAAGGGGATCTGAACCCTTGACCTTGGTATTATCAGCACCACATTCTAGCCAATTGAGCTAACTGGCCAGCCAGTACTTTTTATTAGTATATTAGTAAAGCTTGACTTTAAATTATTTTTAAACTAATGTTTATTTAATTAGAACCGTGATATATGTTATGAATTGGAGAATGCTAGCATGAAGAAACTGAGGAAGGAGAGCACACCAGCCTGAGTTTAGGAATAGTGACCAGATTCGGAATGCAGAGCCATAGTTGAGGTTGAAGAGACTGCTGACCTGGCTTTTATCACTTCTGTCTTGTCTCCTGGAAGAATCCCATGCCAATACTGAGTTCTTCAACATAAACTCTTACGTGTTGATCCTGAAACCTTGTACAATGGCCTGTGGACTTAGATGGTCAGATTAGGGGAAAAGAAAGCCTGCTAAAAAATCCATATGAGATACACAGTTATGAAATGATGAAAGAGAAGAGCTCTTTGGAAAGGGAAAGAGGAAAGAAATGGAGGCCTAGCACTTAACTTGAGTCTAAGAGCAGCAGAGCCCTTCCAGCTTCTGATCCTGAGCAGGGAGACTGTCTTATTTTAGGGATGACAATACCTGCCTGCTGTAAGGGAAAGATCATCTGTATGGAGGAAGGGGCCATAGACAAGCTTATTTCTGGAAGGTCCAGCTGAGTGAAGGCCTATGGGATTCTGTGATAGGCACAGTGTATCCATGGAAATATCCCACCTGTGAATCCACATCACCTTACAGGCACATGTCCATAGGGCCTAAGAGTGGTAGAGAATGAAATTCTAGGGACACAAGAGGACAAAACAGAAAACTTGAAATAGAGCTGACAGGTTTTCCCCAAAGGAGCATTTTATTAATATAGATGTCCAGAGATAAGTTTGATGGGCCCTAGTTCCAGGTAAAAAGCACAGAATGGTGTTTTTCCCTTAGTGGCTGTGGGCCACCTGGGAAAGTGGGATTGAGCTTTGTAAAATCTGTAGAGGCCACAGCTCTGTCATTCCCTGAGCTCAGCAAGGCTAATAATCTCTTGAGGTAGGAAAATGGCCAGGAATCAAACATCTTGAGCTCAAAAGCCAAAAACTCTGAGATGCTGGGCTGATTAAATACCAAATCCTATATTTCCATTTCCAGACCAGGAATGGTCCCAGCCCCCCAAACCATAACACATTTAGCCTTATGAAGTTGGCATATTCTGCTCTCATAAAGGACCTGTCACCTGCTCTAGCCCTCTATCTCCAGACAGTCATTCTAAATGCATGTTTATCCTATTTTTAAAGGTTTACAGGAACAGGGATTCTGCTACCTCTTTGAATTGCCATTCTAAGGTTTATAATTTTTAGTTACATATCTATTAGACAGTGCAATGCACATCAAACAAATACTTATTCTTCATACTTTAAAAAAAATCTAATTCAAAGTTAAGGTAGAAAAAACTTCTTAACATCAACTTTCTAAAAAGTAGTAATAAAGTCATTTGTTAGTTTTTTTCTGTCTAGTCTCATAGAAACCCATCACCCATAGTTCTTCTCCCCCAAACCTCTTCCCAATAGACTATAATTGGAGACTCCAAGTTATGTGCTTACGATGTTCTCCAGAGCCCCTCCTGGCTGTACCCAGAATACCTTCTGGATGGTGCCTTGTAATCTTATCCTTCGTCTTGCTTCTAATAAGTCAGGCAGCTGCTCACAGAGGGTTATTTAGGGTAACATGGAACAGCCAAGGAGAGTCTGGCCAGGGCTGGCTTGGGGCCCGACTAGGCCAGTGAGGTTGAATAGGAGAAGCCAAAGGACTACTGGGACTCCTTAGGGTGAACTATCTATACACCCGAGTCTGTGATTTTTAGGGAACTGGGGGTTTGAGGCATAGGTACAGGGGCACAAAGGGAGTCCTAAAACTTAATTTCTAAGCAACACTCAGATATTCAATTAAGAGGGAAGATGGCTGACCTCTGGAAGTTGGCAGGGTTTGAGGTGAGAAGGCAGAGTGGGGAGAAAAGAGAATCTTCCTTATTGTAGGATTTTTCTTCTGCCCAATGGATTTGGATACTTCCTGTCTACCATCTATTGTTTGCATTGCACTGAAAACCTTTTAAGTCATTTATTTCTTTTAAATCCCCCCCCCCCCCCCCACATTTACTTCTTTGGAGCAGGAAACAATGTTTTTTTCTTATTTCCTAATATTACAAACTCATATTTCTTTTTTTGGAGAGATTTTTAAATTTTTTTAATTTATTTTTATTTTATTTTGTCGATATACAATGTGGTTGATTATTGTGGCCCATTACCAAAACCTCCCTCCTTCCTTCCTGTCCCCCCTCCCACCCAGCAATGTCCTTTCTGTACAAACTCATATTTCAGAACCATTTAAGAACCGCAGGTATCCAGTAGAGAATCCCATATAGGCCTTGGGACAGGCTGGAAAACAAGCAGCCGTTTCATATCTGTTCTGCTCATATTGATCTGACTATTCATCTTTCCAAAAGCATTGATGGCTTTGTGTTCACTCTGACCTCGTTCCTTTCACACACACAGGCTTTTCCTAAAGCTTCTGAGAAGCCCCCCCCTCCATAAATTTTTTGGTTTTGGTTCCTTCAACTTAAGGGTGTAACTTAGACTTCTAGACTTCATGGGGCTTTGCCTTAGTGATGTCATAAGGAACCTTTGACATCAGTGCTCACCAGTGACCTTTAGTTGAGAAGCCCAACCTTCCTGTTCTTATGTTAGATCAATTATCAGAAGCATTTGGCACTGTCTCCACTTCTTGAAACTGTCCCCTTTTGGCTTCCAAGACATTGCTAAGCCCTGATTCTTCTTCTGTCTTTCTTGCCGATCCTCATTAGTTTCCTGCATGAAACCCTACTTAACCTGCCTGTTCTTTCTTTTTTTTAAAAAAAAGATGACCAGAAAGGGGATCTTAACCCTTGACTTGGTGTTGTCAGCACCACACTCTCCCAAGTGAGCTAACCGGCCATCCCTATGTAGGGATCCGAACCCGTGGCCTTGGTGTTATCAGCACCGCACTCTGCCGAGTGAACCACGGGCTGGCCCTCACCTGCCTGTTCTTTCAATGCTGGTTTTCCTCAGGGTTCCACTCCTTGCCCTTTTACCTTCTAATTATATACATTATCCTGAGACAGTGTCTTCCACGTCCACATTGATGTCCCACAAGAACGTCAACTCAGTTAATGGCACCACAGTTTTGTCTTTTGCCTAAGTCAATCATGGGGCATTTCCTTCTTCTTCTCCAAACCCTTGAAATCTAATCATATTGCCAATTAGATATAAGTCCTGTTGCTTCTGTTTCCTAGATGTCTTCTGTCCAGCATTTCTGTTTTGTCTGAAATGCCTCTCTTCCAGTCCATGCCTCCTCATTTCCTGTCTAGGATGCCAGATAGCCTCCTAATCTCAGTGACACCTCTCTCAAGCTGTCTTCCACACTGCTTCTAGAGTTTTCTTTCTCATATGTAGATATCATCATGTCCCTCTACTGTCAAAATTCTTCAGGGATTCTTCATTTTCTGCAACTTTTTGGGGGTAGTGAGGGGGGTCACAGACCATTTTAAGAATCCAGTGAAAGCTGTGGACCTTCTCCTCAAAGAAATGTCCATGCCCACAAAACTTTTCATACAGTTTTATGGGATTCACAGATTCCCTGAAACCCATCATCTGAAACCCCCCTGACCTACAGAAAAAAAGCCAAACTTTATCTCATGGCATATAAGTGCCTTCCCACCTGTATAGCTTCATCTCTCACCACTTCCTATTTTACATTTTATTTTATTTTTTTTTTACTGGCTGGCCAGTATGTGGATCCGAACCCTTGACCTTTTTGTTATCAATACCATGCTCTAACCAACTGAGCTGACTGGCCATCCCTACTCTTTATAATAGTGAATTACCTAAGGTTATTTCTTAACCCTCACTTTTATGTGTCCTATTCCCTGAGCCTAGAATGTTCTCCCCCAATTTGTCCACCTGACAAAAAGATTTAAAAGGAAATTGGCCTTTAGATCTCAGGACAAATGCTGTGTTTTCTGGAGAACTTTCCCTGACTTCCTCCTGGCAGGCTTACGTGCCCTTTGTCCTTGTTCCCCGCGCACTTTGTACATATCTCTTTCATAGGGATCAATATGCC